TTACAAAAAAACAAAAACAAAAAAAACACCCATCGGCCCATAAAAATGAAAAATCACCATCGGCCCACCGGGCAAATGCCCGGTATGTCCGATGGCCGGTCCAGCTCTGCTTGTTAGTAACGGTAATGGCGTTGTAACGATAGAAATAGTAATTAGTTAGATTACTCGTTACTGAAAAAAAGTAACGCCATTACTTGTAACGCCGTTATTCCCATCACTGATAAGTATGATCAGTCGGGCCCCTTAGGCCCACCCACAATTCCATGTTAGGCTCCTAGGCAACGGCACTAACTACTCCACCACCACAGCACAATTACAAGTCTTGTGTCTGTGTCAAGGTACCCTCTGTCCACTCTATGAACTCGATGTGCACCATTTATTCTCACTGTTTGATCCTTCAAAGCTTAGCAGGTACCTGGCTCTGTAGGAACTTGTTCAAATATGGTAGGTCTCATGAGAATGTCAGGTTTTCCATTTAACAAAGCATTTCTTTGCTTTGTAAAAAAAATGTGCGTTAAGTGTTAATTTGTGCTTTGTGAGCTGATCAGCTGCTGTACAAACTTTAGATGTATTAGTGGTGAAAGATTAACAATGTGTAAAACACAGACCACACACTGTGCCAGTGAGAGTCACATCAGTGGCAGAGCGAGACATCCAGGTGTTATGTAATTATTTAAGGTGGGACATGGTTCCCTAACGTATTAAGGGTCGATATTAAAAGGTTCAATTGAGTATTTTTAGCTTAACCTTCAGAGATCACATGCATGTGAGACTAATCTGCATTTGACAGACCTGTGGAACATAAACCATTACAGTTTGAATTGAGGCTGTGGTGCATTGTTGGCTCTATGACCTGCAAATCACAGGAAATAAACGCGGAGTGACGAATCCATTCTTTTCTCTTCCACACCATATCCTTTTCTTTTTTTTACCTCTTCTTGTTCAGCATCGTTCTACTTCTGCTTGTCTCTTTGCTGTGTAACCCCTGTCTATCTCTCACCCCTCTTTCTCTAGCCTCCTTCTATTTTGCTTTCCTGTGTTACACGTCAGTTTGCTTCCTCTGTCTGCTTTTTAGCGTGTCTGACTCTCCTCGCCAATTCTGTTCTGCTTTGTTTCAGAGCTTTTATCCCATCTCCCCTTCTCTGAGCTAAAGCTTAATGTGTATCTAACTGTGTCTCACATTCATTCGTTCATTGTCTCAATAAAAATAAATCATCTCCCTTGCTTTTACTGGATCATCTTTCCTTTCTTTTAATCTTACTTGCGCTGTTATCTTTGTATTTAGTATCTCACCTGCTCACTCGCTCGCTATTTCTGTCTGTCTGACTGTCACTCTTGCTATTTTTTGTTTTTCTCGCTGCATCGTCTCCCTCACTGCAATAAGCGCTTATTAGTGTTATTTGTCACTATGCCTAGACTGGTATCACATGTTTGTATTTTTTCGGTATCCCAAATAGTTACATAATGAAAAAGCTGGGAACAATTTTTTAGCAGCATCATTGAAAGCAGCATTTGTTTCTAAAAATAGTTTTCGGTAGGGATCGTCTTCAAAGTGTTTAAAGTGACAGGTGGTGTCTGACAAAGTTTTGCACTGGTGTATGTTTATCTTGGAGCGTTTTTAATTTATATTTATATTAATAGTCAACCACTGCAAGAAATTGGTCATGACTGCTTTAATGTCTTTTTGATGCAATTTTATTACAACCTATGCTACCTGAGCAACTTAAATACAAAAAAGTATGTGGATCATTGTAATATGTTCAGTTCAGTTCAATTCAGAGGTATTTATGTAGCGCAACATCACAACAACAGCTGCCTCGAGGTTCTTTATACTGCAAGGTAAAAACCCTACGGTATTCAGGAGGAAACCACAACAATAAGACGATTCCCTGTGAGCAAGCACTGTGCAGTGGTGAGAAGAAAAAATTCTTACTTTCACCTGGAGGAAACCTGCAGCAGAACCAGTCTCAGGGAGGAGCAGCCATCTGCTGCAATCGGTTGGGGGTTAGGGGAAAGAGAAAAGGGAAAAAAGAGAGCACAGGGAGACATGACAAATCCCAAAAATTAAAAAAAAAAAAAAAAAAAAAAAAAACTTTAAGATTGATTTAAAGAAGCGAATACACACACGACTACTTAATTTTGTACAACTTGGATTTATAGCAATTGTCTAAAATCTTACCATTTTACTTTGCCATTTTAATAAAAAAAAAAAAAAAAAAAAAAAAAAAAGGAAACAGTTATTAATATACCAGTGTGATAGTCTGTTGCTGCACGTGGTTGACTGTTTTCACTTGTCAGTTATCAGACATTGTGTTAGGTACACCTGTTTCAATGCAGATTGATGCAAACATTTTCTCAGCCAATCACAACTCAGTGCATTTAGGACTTTGACTTTGAGTGTTGCATGGCTGTTGGTGCCAGATTGGGGTTTGCCCACACAACCATCTCAGAAAAACACAAACTATCCAGTGAGCAGCCGTTCTCTGGGTGATGACAGCGCTCTGCTGCAACATTCAGATGGCAGTGACAGAATTTGGAATAAATAATATGAAAGCATGGATCCTGGTTTGTATCAAAGGTTAGGGCTGATAGTGGTGATGTAATGGTGTGGGAGATATTTCCTTGGCACACTTTGGACCCCTTAGTACCAACTGAGCACAGATCCAAAAGGCGGTCCAGCTGACTATTGCTGCTGACTGTGTCCATCCCCTTATGACCACAGTGTATCCATCTTCTAAAGGCTGCTTCCATCAAGAAAACATACCATTCAAAAAGCTCAAAACTGAGGTCTCCTCCTCCATAGTCACTGGATCACAGCGCAATATAGCACCTTTGGGATGTGGTGGGACGGGAGAGTCACATTATTGATCTGCAGCCGTCAAATCTGCAACATCTGTGTGATGCTATCATGTCAATATGGACCAAAATCTCTGAGGAATGTTTGCAGCACCTTGTTGAATCTTTGCAGCTGTGAATGTAAAAAGGAGTCCAAAACAGTAGCAGCCAGGTGTTACTAAAGTGTCCACTGATATTTGTCGTTATTTACAGGGGCAGTGTAATTTTCCATCCAGCAGTTGCTGCAAACATATTATTGCCTAATGTCACTGTATGCTGGCAGGAAGATTGACGTTATTTGAAACTAATGTAATGAGAAAAGGAGCCACGAGACAGAATTACGATTCAAAGATCCAAATCTTTAATCTATGCAAGCAGACTGCCACATGAGGTGGGCAAAAAAAACAACAAAAACTAGTTTAAAAGGTCACTTAAAGGGAAAGATTAGGAAAAACGCACAAGGAAATACCTGGAAAATCTGAAGTGGAACAGCAAGGAAACAAGAGTAACAGGGTAATGTAAGCCAGGAAGTTTACCTTCCCTTACTTTGGTTTATTAGGATCTTGAGGCCACAAATCTTTACATTTTCATGGTGTCATAATGAAACACACACATGCAAACCAACTTATAACACAAACAGTGACTCAAATCAGGGTAAGCCCTTTAAATTAGCCATCATTACTACAGGGCAGTTTTTTGAATCCAGTTTTATTGGTTTCTTGTGTTATCTGTGTTGACAAGGAATTCTCTCCCTTCATAGGCCATTATAAAACTGTTCTTTTCATTGCATTGGTTCTTGCTATAGGTAATGATAATTGACCTCCTGTGGCCTGTCTGGTAGGATATTGGTTCTTAGCTACACTTAAATACAAATTTTCAAAACCAATAATTAATATTTGGCCCGAGGGTGCAAACTACATGTAGTGAGGATAAACTTAGGAACACTGGAAACAAGCTATATGTGTAAAAATCACTGTGCTTGTGTCTGTTTTAACAGAACTCCAGGTAACAAACCAGGCAGCAGCCCCAGAGGTCAGACTCCAGACGAGACCGGACGCCGCCATGGGCAGGGCCACGAAGCCAACTCTACTGCTTCTGACTTGGCCAACTCGGTCACCAGTGACATGCTCATGGTAACGTACACGAGTACTAATAGCTCAGATCTGTAGTCTGCTTTCTGCATTGATGATTTCAACTATATTTAGAGAGCGAAAACTGCTTTTGGCAAAGCCTTCTGAATCAGAATAAATGAGATGGCAGAGAGACTTCACTGGTACTTTCAGATCATCTTTCATAATCTAAGATGAAAGGTGCATGCAAATCTGGAGATAAGAAAGTGGAAGACGAGCCAAAGGAGTAGATGAAAATAGTGTAAAATGTTCAAAACTTTCACCCGTTTGTGATTAATCACCATTACAAAGAACACTGTTTTAAAAGCTTAAATTAATACATTTAGCAGTACTGCTTATGTTTATCGCCTGTGCTGCCCAGTTTTCTAACTTATAGCAGCTAATCGTCTTCTTTGAGGCGGTTTGCAGCTTGACAGTTTATCTTACCTTTGGAAACAGCTGTTGACAGTTGAGTTAAAATGATCCACTTTCACTGACTGTGCTGAATTAAATGTCAGCGATAAAGTACAATCCCAGCTTCTTTTCTTTCTTTCTTTTTAAGCATCATGGGACCTATTTTTGTATTTTGACAATCATTGCTATCAGTAATAATAACACCTAACCTGTCAAAGTCATTTCTGAAAAAACACAAAAATGTAGCGTGCCAGTGGGGTGTCTGTTTGCAGCCAAACCAAAATGAAAATATACTTTAGAGGTAGTAGATTTTCTCAGAAACCTTCAATTTTCCCCACCAGATAACCTTTTTGCTTGCTTACCTGCTTTCTAGATCACAGTGGTTTATTTGATAAGTGCAATGATTTTCTTTGATATTTCACTATATGGGAAATAATTGGCAAGGCTTCAAAGATAAGATCAAAGTTGCAATGCAGATTTATTTATCATGAGCTACGTGTCACTTACTGTATATAATGCAGTCTTTTGGTTCAAAGACGGAGAAAGCCTACACGCTTCAGTTCAATTGAGGAGGAAAGCTGTTTGAGAAGTCTTTCATCACTCAGGAAAGTGCTTTCTCCTTCACCCTCAGCGCACCTACCTGTAGAGCGTTACAGTTAGCTGCGGCTATACAGTAAGTCAGCTAACTGAAACATAAAGCAATCATTACCCTGAAGTGAGACGCCGGGAGGGGCGGCAACGTGCACCTGATTCAGAGAGGTTCGGTAATTAGCTGTGAGAGAACATGCAGTGCTGCTGTGGGTGCTGTGAGAATATGGCAGATCGGTATGAGCACTGTGTAATTATGTGGGTTTCATGGGGTGTCTGAGGAATTCACAGTGGCAGGGCCTAATGATAATACTCATTCTGGGTACTTTTGCCAAAGCCATCTATATATTACACAACCCTCCTTTCATGCTGAAAATACCAATCCTGCACTTTTGAGCCACTTGTGGTGCTATATAAAAAGCCATAGTCGTATATACAGACGGTACTGAGAGGAAGGACCGAGTGAAATGTTATTGGACGTCACAGTATATATGCATCCAACCCACTCAAGCATCTCAGGTGATAGGGGTTTGGGGTCCTGTCAGCATCAGGTTCTTATCAGTACGTACTCTGACACTGCTTTCATTTTGTGTGGTGCTCATAGAGTGGTGGAAAGTGTGGTGTGAAAAGTGTCTTTGCCTATTATCACACATCCACACATTATAGGGAGGCTTATATGTGCTTTATTTGTTTAAAGGATAAGGCTAGTGATATTCTACCGTTTGTTGCCACTGTCAAGGAATCTAATGGAAGGATCCCAAGCACCCGAGGGTTAGTCCATTCATTTTTGAATCGCAGTTACAAAGGAAAGGATTGTGGGTTGTAAGGGTTGTAACATTTTGACAATAATAGCTCAGATTTATAGACAAACAATATCTGATGAAACAGATATGCTTTATGTTCTTCTTTAACACTTGCAGTCAAGAATTGCTAAAAGTGCTCATGACCTCTCCAAAAACTACTTGGAATCAGCCGTTCTAAGAGATCGGGAGATCCGACTGGAAGTGTCGGTTGTAGAGGTGAAGTCTGGTTGCTTTTTTTCAAGACTGACATGTGTGACCCTTTCCTAGATCACAGCAACTTTGACTCACAGGACAGAAGAAGCATTGTGCATTGTAGAGATGCACAAAGGTGGCTAGAAAAAAAAAGTTAAATGCTTTTTTATGAGTGTTCATTGAGCTGCAAAAGGACAATTTGATTCAAAGTGGAGGTATGTAGGGCTGCTGTGCTCCCAAGAGTGGCTGGCCTGCAAAGATCACACAACGAGCTCAACACGAAGCCCTGAAAGAAGTGAAAAAGAACACAAGTCAGACAGCAAAAGTGGGACATCTGCACAGATCTCTGCAGCTCCCTCAAATCTGACTTTTTTTTATCCACTGTGAGAAAAATGCTGCATAACAATGAGGAAAGGACAAGAAGAAGAAAAGAACATGTTGCAAGTTTGGAACTAGGCCTGGCCTCTTGGCAATCCATGGGGAAACAATGAATTTAAAGTTGTGTGAAGAAGTTTTGAACTGTAGTATCAGGGCAAAAGTCAATTACTTTAAGCTTAGGAGAGATTTACTGATGGAATAAGACACTGACGAAGAGCACACAAGTAAATTAAGAATCAGAATGGCTAAAAAAGAACAAAATTCATGCTTTGAGATAGCCGAGTCAGAGTCCTGACCTTAACCCAACTGAGATGCTGTGGCATGACCTAAAGAGTCCACTCAAATCATCTCAGAATTACCGATGAACTCAAACCAGTTATGTAGTCCTGAGGCGCAGTCCTGAATTCCTCTTTAATACTGTGCTGGTCTCATAAGCAGTTCGAGGAAACATCTGACAGGAGTCACTGCTGATAAAGGAATGCAGTCGGAGGGATTATTAACTATGCATAATTAGAACATAAAAAGTAAAACTGCTTTTTTTTTTCTTTTATATATTGGGGTTTAGATGAAGATCTGTCCTTGTTTTTGTAGAAGTGCTGAAAGCCTAAGTTACTTTTTCCCCAAAGGGTTAGCACGCTTTTTCTTCCAATTGTGCATTTAACGACATGACTTCCAAAAAACAGATGTGCTCTGCGGTTTTTAGCAAATGTTACTCAAGCAAGAGTAAATGATACATTTGTGTGTGGTGTGTGTGAGTGTGTCTACATAATATGATATAATCTATATATAGATAATTCTATCTATCTATCTATCTATCTATCTATCTATCTATCTATCTATCTATCTATCTGTCTGTCTGTCTGTCTGTCTTCACATTATTATGAGAAAGGAGCATGGCACATTGCTCCCATTTGTAATCTTTTTTTTATTATTATTTTGAGAACAACAGATGTGAAGGACACATTAGAAAAAAAACTCTGTAAAGGATTTACATTTACAATATATATACCTGGCCATGTTTGCCTCTGTTGCACGTGGATCGCTGTGGTTTTTAGAAAAATAAATTAGGCAGGCAAATTTAAAAACTGGATAAGAAGGGAGGGGGGGGGGACTCTAAGAAAACGAGAGTATCCAAATGCAGAAAATTGGGAATAGCAATTTAGGCCATCTGTTGGCTGGAGGACTGCATAATGAAAAGTGAACATATTCAGCATAGAGAATGAGGCTGGGCAGCACCACCAGGATTGTGTGGGAAAATACAGAATTGGATATTATGTTTCTGCCCCTTGAATAATGCCTCCAGCTCTTCCCCCATCAGATAGCACTTTTTAAACTGGATTCTCTCCCTCCCTTCAGGCCATGTCACCATCAGTCAGAGGATGTGTCTGTCAATAGATAATCTGCTTTTCCAAACAGCCATGCAACCAGCTCTGCCCTTTTCTTACGGGGAACGCTAGCCATGCGACATAACATCATGCTAGTTTGCCACTTACAAGCTGTGGTATTTATGGTGAAGTTCAGAATTGGTGCCCCCCGTGGTGTGGAGTTCAAGTCCCTTGTTTAGTGTTCGCTCCTCTTTAAGTGTTCAGACTGTGTGACCATGCTGTGAATATTGCAGAGCTTGACCCTTGATTTAAATCATAGCAGTGCAGCTCCCGCGGTGCTACACTTTTATACCTATCCAGCCCAAGGTCATTAGGGAAAAAACATAAAGTAATGCGGTCTAATGTAACAGTCTTATATTCAAAATAACCCCCTGATTATCACGTCAGTATTCTCTGTTTTAGGGACTTATTATATACCTTTATGTACTTAAATCTGAGCAGTATGCTTAGATTTTAAACACTTTATTATCAACACTGACAGCAGCATTGTCGCATGGCTATTACAGATCTATAATCTAAAAAAAATAGCTTTTTAACTTTAGAGAAGTGCTATAAAATCATTCACAGATGGTTTCTTTTTCCACGCAGGCATACAAACTCACATAGCAATTATGGCAGAGTCACCGTACAAGTCTGTTATTGTGGCTGGGCTAATGATCAAACCGCCACCGCTACTACCTGAGCAACACCACCCCAAATGACATATGTACAACATACTGCACAGTGGGTGGAAGTTGTTTGTTGAAAGTAGTGTATCTATCTACTCACAATTTGGACACACCAGTTCAGCAGCACGAAAAATGACATTATCTGCATTAACACATATAATTCTTTAACTGGAATCTTATCTCCTTGGAAAGAATATTCAGTTTATATCCATTAAATTATTGTTTTTAGCCAATTTGTTGTTTTTGTTTTTTGTTTAAGCAGGAAGTAAAAAAAAAAATCTTCTTTTGCAAGATTGTACTGGTTCTCTTCCTCTGATTCCTTCTGGAGTTTTTTTTTTTATTATTATTATTTTTTATAATTGTCATATTTCCACCCTTGGCAACAAGAACTACAATCATTTGGGATACCTTTCACATCACTGCAGAGGAATTTTTGCCCACTCTTCTTTGCAGAATTGTTTTAATTCAGCCACACTGGACATTTTTAAGCATGAACAGGATGTTTAAGGTCATGCCAAAACCTTCATTTCGATTTTTTGTGCCATTCAATGGTGATCTCACCGGTCCAGTTGTCCATGTCCTGAAGCAGCAAAGCAGCCCTAGACCATCACACTACCAACACCATGTTTAACTGTTGGTATGGTGTTCTTTTTATGATACTTAAGAGATGTTAGTTTCACACCAGATCTAACAGGACTCAAACCATCCATAAAATTCAACTTTTGTCTCATCAGTCCAAGGAATATTCCCAAAAGTCTTGGGGATCATCAAGATGTTTTCTGGCAAATGTGAGATGGGTCTTGGTGTTCTTTTTGGTCAGCAGTGGTTTTCTCCTTGGAACTCTCCCATGGATGCCGTTTTTGCCCAGTCTCTTTCTTATTGCTGAATCAATGACTCTGACCTTAACTGAGGTGAGTGAGGCCTGCAGTTCAGATGTTGTTTGGATTCTTTTGTGGCCTCCTGGATGAGTCGTCAATGTGATCTTGCGGTAATTTTGGTAGGCCTGGACTCCTGGGAACATTCACCACCACCCCATGTTTTCTCCATTCTTGTTGATAATGGCTCTCAGTGTGGTTCACTGGAGTCTCAAAGCCTTAAAAATGGCCTCGTAACCCTTTCCAGAGTCATAGATGTGAGTGAACTTTTTCACATCTTTTAGCCTACTTCACTTTGTCAGATGGACTCTATTCAAGTGATTCTTTGGTCAAACAGGTCTGGCAGTAAGCAGGCCTGGGTGTGGCTAGTGGAATAGAAATCAGCATTTCAAGAAAGTGTATTTATTTATTCATTATTTATTTAATAAATGAATATGATTAAAGACTTTTCACAGTGCTGTAAATCCTCCAATAAGATAACAGGGTTGAATAAAAATAAATAATGCCCTGCTTATCTCCTCTTGTTCTGTCAGCTGTCACCAGGTTCAGAGGAAGAAGAACATGAGGGTCCAGTGTGTGAAAAGCTGGGTCGTATTCAGTTCAGTGTTGGATACAGTTTTCAAGACTCCACTCTCACTGTGAAAATTCTCAAAGGCCAAGATTTGCCAGCTAAGGACTTTTCTGGCACCTCTGACCCATTTGTCAAACTATACCTGCTGCCAGACAAGAAGCACAAACTGGAGACAAAAGTGAAGAGGAAGAATCTAAACCCCCACTGGAACGAGACCTTCCTTTTCGAAGGTGTGATCAGGAAGCTTTTCCTTAAACACATTCACAGCACATGCAGGCAGTCATTTCTGTCTGGATCATTCATCAACATATTAAGACTATCATGTGTGAATCTCTTTCTCAGGGTTCCCCTATGAGAAGGTGGTTCAGAGGACCCTGTATCTCCAGGTTCTTGACTACGATCGCTTCAGCAGGAACGACCCAATAGGAGAGGTGTCCATCCCACTCAACAAGCTGGACCTAGCCAACATGCAGACTTTCTGGAAGGAGCTGAAACCATGTAGCGATGGCAGTGTGAGTAAGAAGGAAAGAGGTTGAGTAGAGGAAAAGAAGATAGACAGGAAGGGAGGGGGCAAGATGAAGAGAAAGAGAAGATGGGACAGAATGTAGCGGGTGATGTCATTCCTGGCTGCCGTGATGCTCCCATGGGAGATGTAGCAGCATGCTGGAGGGAGAAGGGATAGGGAATATGGAGAGGCTGACAGGTAGATGAAGGAAACACAGGCAAGCAAAGGAAACATAGGATGAGTGACAGAAGGGAGAGCAATGCAATAAGGCAATTAAAAATGAACAGTTTGTTATTGTTTTTGTTATTGTCTATGGTTTTTTCCAGGGAAGTCGAGGGGATCTGTTGGTGTCTCTGTGTTACAACCCCACAGCCAACACCATCACTGTGAGCATCATCAAAGCCCGCAACCTCAAAGCCATGGACATTGGAGGCACTTCTGGTATAGATTCTCCCTCATCTTCCTTTCTTCAATACATTTTTACATTCCAACAACAGAAAATGAGAAAATAGTGTGTTTATATTTCATTTTTGGTATTTTGTTGGGTTTATTTTGTTCTCATTAAATCCCCAATTCTGGTAATTCATGAATGCTATATTGCTTCATAACCGGCACATTTCCCTCTTCTCAGACCCCTACGTAAAAGTGTGGTTGATGCACAAGGACAAACGTGTGGAGAAGAAGAAGACGGTGGTAATGAAGCGCTGTCTGAACCCTGTTTTCAACGAGTCCTTCCCCTTTGACGTGCCTGCCCACGTGCTGAGGGAGACCACCATAATTATCACCGTCATGGACAAGGACAGACTCAGCCGCAATGATGTCATTGGGAAGGTATCTCCTTCCCACTCCTCTTCTTCGCCTCTTCCTCTCTTCTTCTTCTTCCTCCTCTTTTTTTCTCTCTTCCTCTGTGTTTTTCTGACTGTCTGTCAGACCATCAGCAGATGATCAGTGAGCCAGTCTCTACTGACCCCTGCTGGAACATGCAGTTCATTCCCCTGTGCTGTAAATGAACTCATATGCAGCAAACAACAAGCTGCTAATTTTAAGTGTGAAAGTAAAAGTGTGCTTTATTTAGACTTAATACTACAACATTTAGGAATGGCACAGAGGCAGATGCAGAGACACACAGTCAGCAAACTGCACATTTACTGTTTAGGCTAAATGCAGATGGTGAGTTTAAACCTTTCCATCTTTAACCGGAATATCCCCTTTGATGCCTGAATTTCTTTGTTGAATTAGCTGATCAACTCTGAGAAAAATTAATGTATTTCTGTTACAACGTGATTAAACATTTTAAACTTCTTATCTGCATCTTTTAGTTTCCTATAATGTTTCGTAGTTTTAATGCTTTCTGGGGGGGAAAATCTAATAAATTGCAGCTTCTTTTAGACACAAAGACATGTAGATGTACTTTACTTTAAACGGCAAATATGAACCCAGTACTGTGCAAAGGTCTTAAGCCACCTCTCATTTCTTTATATTTTGCAACCAAGGAATCTTGGAGTTTCTTGTGACTTTTTAAAGTGGTCTTAAAGAACAGTTCTCCAGGGTTTTTGCAGATCTTTCAAATGTTGTTTTTGGACATTGGCTGCTTTTTCCACTCATTTTCAGTCCTGCCCTTCACACACATACAAGGAGGCAAATAACTTGAGGGGATTAACCAGTGCTGTGTCTACACATGACAGAAAATTTAACAAAGAACCAACTATACATTTGTATCCTTTTTTGTTACTAGCTGCCTGTCGCAAAAACATACATAATATGTTCCCATTTCTTTAGTCGAATCTACAAAAATGCCAAAAGTAACACAATTTGACAGTATAATATTGCATCCTTTGACCAACAAGGTAATTCCCAAAAAGCTCTTAGCTGTAAGCTTGCCATATCGCAGCATGGTGTTGAGTGTGTCCTCAAAAAAATATGAGAAAACTGGTCAAACAGCCAACATCCAAAAAAAGAGCTTTAAATGTCCTTCAACAAGACTGGAGAACTATTGCTGAAGACTACTTAAAGGAATTACAAGAAAGCTGCCTAAAAGAGTTCAGGCTGTGTTGAAGAATAAAAGTGGTCACACCAAATATTGATTTTCAAGCCCGTTGTACAAACTCTGTTTTTACTTTACATGCTGTATTTACATGTATATTTACACCTGCTTCAATAAATCACTGCACCTATTTCTCATTTTCCAAGCAAAATATAAAAATTTGAGGGTTGGCTCAAGGAGTTTTGCAGACCATTGTTTATGTATTCCTTTGTACTGCTGCCTGTAGACAAAGTCACATTGGGTGCTCTGACTGAACAAGTCGGTGTTACGCTTGCTCAACAATTAATATGAATTAATTCACTGGACATGCAATTTAACAGTTTCTGCTTCGGTTGTAATTACTACCAAATTAGATTGTTCTTTTCTCGAAACTTGTGGGATTTGTCAGGATTTTACAATCCCATAAAACCACAGTTTCTTTTATCCCATAACTGCTTCAGATATCAGACTTAACAGTAACCAAAATAACTCCTTTTTCTCCCTGTGCAGTGAAGGATTTGCTTGTTTTTAAAACCAAACACCAGCTTTTCTATAAATAAACATACGGTATATGTATTAGGAGAATGAAAATGGAATACACCAAAGCTTAAATCAAATCTTTGTTTCATCGGGCACTTAAAAAAAATCTATGCGCTGTGTACAGCAGGGAAGAGTATTTACTTTATAAGGCTTTCATACACCTCTACAATATTTACAGGTACTATATGTATTCCCATTCTAACCACACATATTATTTTCTTTCATGCCGCAGTTCCCTATTATTAGAATAGCTTCGTAGAATAGAGAACAATGAAAAAGTGAACAATTTTTCATGTGGTATCCAGGAGTTTCTTACTACATTAGAATCGCTTGCAGACGAGTCTGTGTTTGATCCTATTAGTAACAGCATTAGCCTTTCTCTGAGTTTTTCACTGGGTGAAATCTCTTGCTCTAATGGCTTTTTTTCTGCTCTGGATTTGAGTTAAATTCCAATTAGAGCAGCAGGCTTAGTGGTGAAAGGGCTACACTTAAGAGTCACAGTTTTTTTTCTCTTAATACTCTGCTGTTTAATTGGGAGCATTCTTTACAAATAACATCTATCTCTGTGTGGCTGTATACAAGTTACAGTGACTGTCTCTTCCTCACAGATTTATCTTTCATGGAAGAGTGGCCCTGCAGAGGTAAAACACTGGAAAGACATGATGGGTCATCCTCGCACTGCCGTGGCCCAGTGGCATGCTCTTAAGGCCTGAAGGACCCAGCAGCCCACCTGCCTACATTGTTTTCCCCTCAAGAATCCCCCCACCCTGCCCCTGCCCTCGGCACATATCCCCTACTACCTAAATGCACTGTTGGGCTTCAGACCATCTATCATCTCTTTGTTCTCAGGCCTCTTTGATATTCCTCGCCCTCAGTTCTCATGACACCTTCCTTAGATTTCACCCATGTCAAGATCTGATTCCCGCCTGACCCTGTCTCATCCGTTTGTCTGAACTTAAAAATGTCTTTGATGTCATATGCTCTCCTTGTTCCATCTTTCTTTTTTTCTCATTTTTTTCTTCCACCATGTTTCCCTAATGTTTTACATCAGAGCAGTACCTCTTAACACCCGTAATTACAAACTACCAACCAAAAATGGATCAAACAGGCATTCCAACCATCCGCTGTGGCAGTGTGTTTGTTTGATTGTTTGCTTGATTGTTTGAATCCTTCTGTGTTTCTGTCTCTTTTCCTACATTCCTTTAAAATGCCTAAAAAAAAAAAATCAGGAAAAGCGGCACAGGCAACAGAAGAGCTGTATTTAAAATGGACAGGAACTGGACTCTGTCACTCATCATGTTTTTCACTCTTCACTCCTCCTCCTCCTGCTACCACTGTAATAATTCTCCCTTGGCTGGAACCCTTTGTCGTCTGTGCGTGCTGTGGGTGATGTGCTGTAATCCCAAATGAAGATCGTCAAGAAAAAAACAAGAAAAAAAGGATATGAACATGAACATTTAGCACTGGTCTAAAAGGGGCAAGTGTCAAACTGCTTTCCTATTTTCTTTAACTCCCGATGGACAGAAAAAAAGAGTAAGGTGATTAATGTTGTGTTTTCTTTATTTATTTAATGAGTTTTGCTTCGAAAGAACTTAGAGAATCAACCTGTTCTTCCAGAAAATAAGCAAAAAGCAGCTTCCACGAGTGTGGAAGTGTGGGGATAAT